CGCCGAGAGCGACTACGAGCGCCTCGCCGAGAACGACTACGAGAGCCTCGTCGAGAACGACCACGAGCGCTTGTCGTGTACGACTACGAGAGCCTCGTCGGGAGCGACCGCGAGAGCCTCATCGTGTACGACTACGAGCGCCTCGCCGGGAGCGACCACGAGCGCCTCGTCGGGAGCGACTACGAGAGCCTCGCCGAGAACGACTACGAGGGCCTCGTCGAGAACGACCACGAGGACCTCGTCGTGTACGACTACGAGCGCCTCATCGGTAGCGACTACGAGGGCCTCGTCGAGTACGACCACGAGAGCCTCGTCGGGAGCGACCACAAGCGCCTCGTCGGGAACGACCACGAGAGCCTCGTCGAGAGCGACCGCGAGAGCCTCGTCGATTGCGACTAGAAGGGCCTCGTCGAGAACGACTACGAGAGCCTCGTCGATTGCGACTACGAGAGCCTCGTCGTGTACGACCACGAGCGCCTCGTCGGGAGCGACTAGGAGAGAGCCTCGTCGGGAGCGACCGCGAGGACTGCGCCGTGTACGACTCCGAGCGCTTCGTCGGGAGCGACTACGAGGACCTCGTCGGGAGCGACTAGGAGAGCCTCGCCGAGAACGACCACAAGGCCTTCGTCGAGAACGACTACGAGCGCTTGTCGGGAGCGACTACGAGCGCCTCGTCGGGAGCGACTACGAGGGCTTCGTCGGGAACGACTACGAGCGCCTCGTCGAGAACGACTAGGAGGGCCTCGCCGAGAACGACCGCGAGGGCCTCCTCGTCGGGAGCGACTAGGAGAGCCTCATCGGTAGCGACCACGAGCGTTTGCGGAGAACGACTACGAGAGCCTCGTCGAGAACGACTCCGAGAGCCTCGTCGAGAACGACTCCGAGAGCCTCGTCGAGTACGACCGCGAGCGCCTCGTCGGGAGCGACCACGAGAGCCTCGTCGGGAACGACTAGGAGGGCCTCATCAGGAGCGACTACGAGGGCTTGTGGTGCATGACCGCGAGGACTTCGCCGAGTACGACCACAAGGTCTTCGTCGGCTGCGACTACGAGCGCTTGTCGTGTACGACTACGAGCGCCTCGTCGGGAACAACTACGAGCGCCTCATCAGGAGCGACTAGAAGGGCTTCGTCGAGAGCGACTCCGCGCGCTTGTCGTGTACGACTACGAGAGCCTCGTCGAGAACGACTACGAGCGCCTCGTCGAGCACGACTACAAGAGCCTCGTCGAGAACGACCGCAAGGTCTATCGCCGATTGTGACTACGAGCGCCTCGTCGAGAGCGACCACGAGAGCCTCGTCGGGAGCGACTACGAGAGCCTCGTCGTGTACGACTGCGAGGGCCTCGCCGAGAGCGACCACGAGGGCCTCGCCGAGAGCGACCACGAGCATCTGGTGATCGTCAAGCACACGACGTGCTGTGGGGGTCCGGCCGTGCTGTCGAAGAAGCCCTCCCTTTTGACGTTCCCCGACGTGCTGAGGAAGCAGTTACGGCGTGTTGAGGAAGCAGTCACGGCGTATTGAGGAAGCAGTCCCGACGTGCTGGGGAGGCAGTCCCGACGTGCTGAGGAAGAAGCCGCGACGTGCTGTGGGGGTCCGGCCGTGCTGTCGAAGAAGCCCTCCCTTTTGACGTTCCCCGACGTGCTGAGGAAGCAGTCACGGCGTGTTGAGGAAGCAGTCACGGCGTGCTGAGGAAGCAGTCACGGCGTATTGAGGAAGAAGCCCCGGCGTATTGAGGAAGCAGTCCCGACGTGCTGAGGAAGCAGTCCCGACGTGCTGAGGAAGAAGCTCCGACGTGCTGAGGAGGCAGTCCCGACGTGCTGAGGAGGCAGCCCCGACGTGCTGAGGAGACGCAGACGGTACGGAGGTCGCCGATGATTTGGGGGAGGCAGGGGCAGTGACCAGCGAGCAGGCGAAACGTGCGGTCGTACGCAGTGAGAAACGTGCAGTCGTTTGCAGTAGGACATGGATCGGTAGGCCGATGGTCGGATGCGTCGTTGGTCGGATGCGTCGTTGGACTGGAGGTGGATGGCCTCGAACGCGTAGACGTCGCGGATGATGGTCTTGTGGTGGATGAGGGTCTTGTGAGGGCGCTCGTGCTGATCTCCTGGCGGGGCGAATGGCGAAGAGGCTGGAAGGTCTTTGACGTCGCGTTCGACAACTGTTCGACTTGAGGGAGACTTCGGCCGCGTCTTTGATATCCTCGTACGCGCACCAATCCGCGTCCCGTACGATGTGTTGAGCTTGCTGGCGAGGCAGCAGTCGAGGGACAAGGTCATTCGTTGATGTATGCGGTGTTGAATGTGTTGCATCGACGGCCGTTGTGCGCATACTAGAAGACTGTGAGCGACATACTAGAAGACTGTGAGCGACGCGTCTGCCACAACATGGCTCATCACGCACCGTCCGATCATGGTTCAGGAGACATTCGGGTCTTGCAAGGCCTGAAGGACATCGTTCGAGGGGGAATGCAGCATGTTCAAGCCCTCGTCCTCTCGGCTCCGTCCCTACAATGGCAGTCGCTTCGCGTCGTTGTATCCTGCGGAGGCATCCTACGGTCATCTATGATCATCGTCGAACGTCAACCAAAGCTGCAAGGCTGCAACTGAAGAGGGACGCACCTTCGACCTAGTTCAGCCTAGTCTCCCGCGGCGAGCGTTCGTAGACCTTCAATACTCGAAAGACATGTCAACCCCACATTGGCATCGCTGTATACTCAATGGCACAAGAAGGTCAGATAATGAGTGGGTAATTGTTGGGTGCATGGCAAGCACATGGAATGAACGCGCAAGACAAGAGGGGAAACAAGGGCGCCATCGAATTCGTCTTCGTTCTGATTTCCACGCGAGCGACCTGCGAACTACCAACGACCTGCCATCATGATCGACATCCGTGACGCGCTGGGATGACCGCTCTCTGCTCGCCACATCTAGACGCGTCTGTGGCTCTCAGCAGTTCTGACAAGCGTCGCCGTGCTATCAGAAGCCCGCTTTCTCAATTCCGTCACATCTCTCCGTCCTGGCCTGCCTGGGGAGACCACGTCCTGGCCCTGTTCAGCCATCCGTCTGCTTCGCGAGCTACCGCCTCCCTGCCTAGCTTTCTGACACTCGACAGAGGCTCGCTTTCTTCAACGTCTTGTCCTCTCAGTCGGTGAGCAGCGCATGAATCTTAATTCTGAGCCCGGCCTCTTCTTGTTCCCCCATCGCCGACGCGCCATCGCCCCCCATCGCCGACGCGCCATCGCCCTACATTCACTGCGTGCCCTACCCTCTATCATTCTCACATCCTAGCTCATCTTCTGCCCCGCTCTGGCTGGATCGCGCAGACCCTTCATCCACACCGCTGTGCGCATACCCTCCATTGACAGCGCATTGAGAGCGCGTTCCCTGTCGTCGAGCCTCAGTCAAGGAAGGAGCCTCAGTCAAGGAAGGATCCTCAGTCAAGGAAGGAGCCTCAGTCAAGGAAGGAGCCTCAGTCAAGGAAGGAGCCTCAGTCAAGGAAGGAGCCTCAGTCAAGGAAGGAGCCTCAGTCAAGGAAGGAGCCTCAGTCAAGGAAGGAGCCTCAGTCAAGGAAGAGCATATCTAAACACAAAATGACAATTCGACCCCCTGCGACATCCATACGGTGCGCGGCGAAGCGTCTAGACGTGTGGGGCCAAAGACGTGTGGGGTCAAATGTCAGGGTGAGTGAGATCGAGAGAGCCGTGAACCACGCAAGCGGGCCCGGAGGACGATCAGTAAGTAACGGCAGAGGACGATCAGTAAGTAACGGCAGAGGACGATCAGTAAACAACGGCAGAGGACGATCAGTAAGTAACGGCAGAGGACGATCAGTAAGTAACGGCAGAGGACGATCAGTAAGTAGCGACAGACGTCAAGCAGCGCAGTAGCGACATCAAGCAGCGCAGTAGGACGGACGTCTTTTGTCGCCTACAATAGGCGCCTCTTCCGAATCTCATCTGCGACAGGCATCTCCTGGGCGTCTCACTGATTCCCTGGTGCATCCAAATCTCACTCAGTCGGCGGCCCATCATACGTATACTCCATCTGAGTGTGTCTACATCATCCGAGTGTGTCTACTTCATCCGAGTGTGTCTACTTACGAGCCCGTGGACCACCTAGCTAACAGATGCGTCAATCGTGACTTATTATACAGTTATACTTACATCGCTCATGATCATAAATTAAATGAATGTCTGAGTACATACATACTCGGTGCGAAGCGAAAAGACTACACAGCCCGATGTAGAAGACTACACAGCCCGATGTAGAAGACTACACAGCCCGACCCGAAAAGACTACACGTGAGCCCGATGTAGAAGACTACACAGCCCGATGTAGAAGACTACACAGCCCGATGTAGAAGACTACACAGCCCGACCCGAAAAGACTAAGTACGTGCGACCCGAAAAGACTACGTGCGACCCGAAAAGACTACGTGCGACGTGAAAAGACTACTCAGTGCTCACTACCTTAGCCTAGTACAGTGCTCACTACCTTAGCCTAGTACTACATAAGTATAGAAACAAATCCACGCTCGAACGAAGATTTGCTCGCTCGCAATTATGCACTTGATAGAAAAGCCAGCTAGGAAGGGATGGCTGCAAAAGCCAGCTAGGAAGGGATGGCTGCAAAAGCCAGCTAGGAGGGATGGCTGCAAAAGCCAGCTAGGAGGGATGGCTGCAAAAGCCAGCTAGGAACGGCTGCAAAAGCCAGCTAGGAACGGCTGCAAAAGCCACCTGGAAACGGCTGCAAAAGCCAGCTAAGTAGGAACGGCTGCAAAAGCCAGCTAGAAAGGGATGGCTGCAAAAGCCAGCTAGGAAGGGATGGCTGCAAAAAAAGCCAGCTAGGAACGGCTGCAAAAGCCAGCTAGGAACGGCTGCAAAAGCCAGCTAGGAACGGCTGCAAAAAGCCAGCTAGGAACGGCTGCAAAAGCCAGCTAGGAACGGCTGCAAAAGCCAGCTAGGAACGGCTGCAAAAAAAACAATCTGGGAATGGCTTCATGCATCAAGGGGGAATCGAACCCCCGGCGGGTCGAGTAGAGACATCCCTACTAACCGCACAATGACATGGCAACGACCCAGGTTACCACTACCCCATTGATGCTCGTGTAAAACCATGTTTAGCTTGTGGAAAGCCATGTTTAGCCCGTTATATAGCTCTTTGTGTTGGTGAGTTAGGAATTTATGAGTAACTCATCCTTTATGCGTGGCATCGCCCTGGGATTTTGTACCACCATTCGTTTCGTCTGCAACCAATCATTATTACGTGTTCGTTCCTGGCACGTGTCTATGGTTCAGGCTATTTATCACGTTAACGTTCATCTTTCACCTTGATGGTTGGTGGATGCGTTTGTGGGATACTTTGTAGCAACTATGCGTCTTTATAGTAAGGAACAATATACCTGAGAGCGTTGGGGGTTGTACTGAGAATGTATAGGTGAAAGGCACGTGTTCCGACGAACATCGGACGTTATGTCACATCGTGGGAAGTTAGCTTTTGTGCGTCTTGTCTTCTTTCCAACCACTGGGACGGTCTACCAGTGGGACATAATGCGTCGAGCGCTTTGCGCCTTCTCATCTCTCCTCGGCAAATGGTATACAGTATGTTCTGTGCATGCATGTCTGCAACGGTGCGTCTATGATGTGTTCTGGATACCTTTCACCGCCACTGACTATCATTGTCTATCTTTCCGAGCAAGGTTTTGTGTGCTCGCTATCATACATGCTACTGATAATGCAGAGTACTTATAAAATGACACGTTCCATGATGTTGTCGTGTATTACCATGGTCATTTGTTTCCTCCTCTTCGTTGCATCAACAAAGTTACCATATTGGGACAGTTTGTTTTGTCTGCGAAGATTTCTTCCGTATTCGGAAGGAATGTCATTGACGTGGGAATGCCAACGTTGGTGGTACGTACGTGACCGTTCGCGGGTGCTACTCGGGAAGTAGTGTCTGATTATTCAGTTAACGATCTTATCTCCACACACAGAGGAAAAGAGGGGTGGATATGTTTCTTGACGGAGTGTAACCCGTCGCTCGATGCTCGCGTGTCGCTCGGCGGTACCCGGTTATGACTAATCTTCACGTACCACGTGATCTTTTCTTCTGGTTCCGCTTTAGGCGCCGACGTGGTTGCCCATTTCGCGTCGTCTGTGGAGCATATACACATGTCGTCTCCTCATTCCGACAAAATCTCTTCGGCAGACAATGGCTTGGACGATCGCAGTCGCGACATGGGGGGTTCCGCTCAGGTCGTTGTCGACGGCACGCGGTCAAGGTGCGTGGCTTGCAGAACGACATCGCATCTTTTGACATTGTCGCAGTGAGCGCGGCAGCGCTGATGTGATTCCTGCATTTGTTGGCGTGCCTTGTAGTCCGACGAGACTCTCCGTTGAAGTCAACGGACCACAGCGGTGCGTGCTCTAATGCTGTTCCCCATCCCATTGGTTTCCTGACTTGCACCCTGCACGCGTTATAGCGCAACGGCGTCTCCTGCCCCCCTACGCCGTGAACCATCGGCTGAAGTGGTTCAGCAAGCGATTACTCCTTCTCTTGACGCGGACAAGATGTTCGGGCTTCATAAGAAGTGCGTGTTATTCTTTTTACCTGCGCGACATTTGCTCACTCGATCCCTTATCTGTCGTCCAACAATGATCTGGCCAGCCAAAATCTTCAACTTGTTCTCTATGCAGCCGGCGGGTACGTACTCCTTCCGGTTAATCGTCGTATATCCTGATTTAATGCTTCAGGTCGGGCGCGATGGCGCTTTCGACGGACACGCGTTGTGACGAAGAGCCGATGCCCACCGTTGGTGCATCGATGGTACTTCCGCCTCCTGTTCTCGTGGGTGCAGGCTCCGGGGCGGCGGGTATCGATCGTTCTGCCAACCAGTCGCTTCAGGCTGGAGGGGGTCCGGTTATTGAGTGCGTCTTATTGTCTGTTAGTCATGGCAGCTTGTTAAACTATATATTCAGGGCGGGTGCGGTGACCTTTCTGTCCGGGGTACCTCCGGATGAAGGTTCGACCGCCCGTGCGGTTCCGACTGCTGCGACAGGTGCTTCCGTAGATGGAGGTTCCTCTCACTCGTCAGTATTGTGTCTCTGTCGCTCTCCCGATGACTAACCAGCTCTAGTGCAAGCTTGCGCTCGGAATCTGCGTTGACTGAGCCGGTTGAATTTAGTGAGCAGACAAGGGCTACTTCTGGTGCGTCATGGGTTTCATATTCCATTGTACTTCGCTTATGCTTTGGCGCAGACGGTACCCCAACTGCCTTGTCTGCATTACCTGGACCGGCAGATGACGGAGTTCACAAGTCTTCGGTCTACAGACGGAAGGCGCCTCGTCTCGCGGGCCACGTCAACAAGCGCAAGCGTACCGCTAGTCCGTCTTCGTCTATGCACGTCCAAGAGGGTAACTCAGCATCCGTCGCGTCACCCCGGCAGTCTGTGCGACTTTCTGAGAAGGCCGATCGTGGTGGCTCTCGTCTCACCAAGCGCTCTCGCACCGGCGAGTATTCTCTCGCTGCCGCGGCCACAGGCAGCGACGAGGGCATGGTCGATTCGACTGGCAACCTGCCGGTTCAAATAACGCGCAAAGCCGACTCGTCGAAAGGGCAGTTCTTGGTCGTCCGGATTGTCGGCCAGAGGGGCGAGGGACCGTCTGGTCTGTACAGTGTGCAGTGGGCCGATTCTTGGGTGCCCTACGATAAGGTCAAGGGCTCTGCAGTGCTGGCGGAGTGGGAGCTTTCCCGTCCGGTAGAGAAGTCTGGCCGGAAGTCTGCATCTCACAAGCAGACCACGACCGGCAAGGGCACGGAACGGCTCAAGGTCGACGGCTCCGACGTACTCAGGATCGTTGCTCAGCATGGCGATGGTCGGAAGGCGGAGTACGTTGTTCAGTGGGACAATACGTGGGAAGACTACAACATCGTCAAGGACCTGGACGCTTACAAGGACTGGCAGGCGGTTCGCCCTCCGGCGCTCTAGGTTGGTGCTGATGTTGAAGGACTTTCGGCTTGGGCGGACACGTGTGCATGTGTATATCTATATGTATTTCTTGATGTTGGTTGGCCTCGCGCTTTCTTGTTTTACTCGTATCGAGCTGTATGGTTTCTTGGATGCTGCTGAATGCAATGCAGGTCATTGGTGGCTATGGCGACGTTTGCATTATTCAAGTAACCAGTGTGGTGTACCTGAACTGCGTGTGAGTCGCCTACGTCACACGCTTACGCGTCCTTGCTTGATGTCGCACGTGTATACAGCGCTTGTCCGCTAGTTGCTTGCAGTTCGCAGCCATTGCATCGTCGTTCGTGTGAATCTGCGATGTGGACACCTGCAAAGAACTTCCTCGCGCGTGCTGACTACTCCCATTATATTATTCGGCTTCAGAAGCTAGTGGAGGAGTATGTCCCACGAGATCAACGAGACGAGAACGGTGTACTGGGAATACACGAGATCTTGGATGCTGTCGAGGAGGACAGAGACTTCCACGCGAAGTATAAGGTCATTTTGGTGTGTACTCAACTTTCTACGATATGATTAACGTCTGATATGCATGGGAAGCGCGCGTTTACATGCCAGGTCGCGTACTCGGGGTTCGCAATCGACCCCAAGTATGCGGGCGTAGACGCTCCGCAGTTCTACACTGCGCCTGAAGATGTGGTCAGCATACTCTACTTCTTCGTCGATATGATGGTCTGGATGAGGCCCGGAGAGACGGCCACCCCCGCCGTCACTGTTCGGCGTCCCGCTGTGAGCGTGAATTGATTTGCTTGTGTATACTTTTCTCATTGTTGTGCGATCTCAGTGTACATTGAATCCTTGGTATGCTCGTCCTAGGATACCGACGATCGACGTGAGGCTCGACGGGTCGGTGAGGGATGGCACTCTGCAAGACAAGATCTGGAGTCTCAACATTGATCTTGTGCGTGTCGTGGCATGTTTACAACTGCGATAAGTATGCTTAGCATTTCGCAGACAAGTATGACGTTCCAACCGCATGACACGCCGGACTCTTTCTTTAATAAGGCTGAAGAACCTGAGGCGTTACCGGAGATTCGTCCCCGAACAGCGGAGGAGCGCTCCGCTATTGCAAAGGCAGCGCAGCGGCGGCGCAGAGAAAAGAATCGCGGACTGTCGGCGGAGGCGGTTGTGCATTCGCAGCCGTCTTCCGACCGCGCATCGCCTGCCGAGTTGTTGTCGACTTATGTCGACGAGGAGATCCAGACAGAGCTGCATGCCGTCGACATTCACAGCGAGGGTGTCGAATAGCTTGTTTTCAGTGTAAGCTTCTCATCTTGTGCGGTCTAAATTGTCATTTTTCGTCGGGTCCATTGTTGCGTTGACTGCAATATAATCTTCGTAGTTTAGCAATTGACTACCCATAACCTCTTAGCACAAGGAAATGTTTCTACTCTGAAGCCGGTTAAAGTCAGGTTATGGTTTGGTATCAGCTGCATATTGCGGTAGGTGGCGATTTTGAGATCCGTCCTTTTATTGATCTAGGCAGTGTATGTTGACTGCATGTTTCTCGTCATATACATAACAGTGAGGCGCCTGATTTCCAGCGAAATTTCCGCTACCATTTATAGTAGTGGGTTTTGGGGTGGAAGCGGAAAACGACCTTTGGCGCCGAAGGAGGTCATCACGTGACCTGTTTGCTTGCCACGTCAGAGTTCCGAGTCTTCGACCATCGGCAGTTGAATGTTCTTGAGCACCACCTTGTGTACTGTGTCCTTCTTGCTGCCCACAGGCTTTCTACTGCATACTGAGTGGTTGTACCCCCGGGATCGACCCTGTAAAATGCCACGGTCAATGCTCGACTGCAATGTGTTATAAGCAAAAGTGCAAGGCCAAATTAGGGCTTTGGATATAATAGATGAGACAAGTGCATGGTGCAGCTCCGAAGTTTGGTAGCGGGCTTTGCCGGTAACGACTGGCCTTGTTGATCGATGGTATGTTAGACGGTTTTAGCATTTCAGTCGTTGTTGTCAACATCAACACTCACGTGCTGGTCACAGTGCATTCACGTGTCGATCTCGGCAATGTCCGATGATACTCTGGGTAGCGGTGGTGATTGGCGCAGTTAGACAATAGTTCCAC